TTGTTGCCAGACTTATTATATAAAGAGAGAGAGGGAGAGAGAGAGAATGAGAAAGATATTATTATACATTTACCGAGTTATTTAAGCTATCGATAAAATAAAATTTTTCCGATTTAAAATGTCTACCAAAAATCAGTTTAAGATTTCTAATGTTGAAAGAATTTAAAAAAAATTAATTGAAATAATATACATTATAGTTTCAATAAATTTTATTTAAATAAAAACATGGTAACAATATGCGCAACGATATAAACAAACAAAATTAAATTTAAATAACCATTCCAATGTTAACTTAGCAGCAGTCTTTTAATGAAATTAAACTTTTCAGACTGTAAAGTTTGCACTGAAGTTCTTATTTCGTTAGAAATATTAAGAATTCTTTCCTAAAGTTCTTCGATTGTATTCACTTCTGGTGAATAGACCGTACTTTTTAAATGGTCCCAGAAGTAAAAATCAAGCGCGTTTAAATCGGGAGATCCAAGGGGCGAGTTTATAGGAGCTTCTTGACCTCTAGCAATCCAACGGCCTGGAAAGTTTTGATTAAGCCGAAACGATTTATTTTTTTGCGGGCAAACTAGGGCCCTTAAGGAAAAAACAGTAACAGATAAAAAATTGATAAATAACTTGTAGTAACTAAAAAAATTACGTTGATAAAAGTTTAAGTGCACACAAAAAAGTTCTGAACAAGACAAAAGTAGGAGTTCCACATTTCTGCCCTGTGTGAAAGCAAACTGAACTACTAAACACTACCATAGAATGGCCTTCAATTATCTTATAATGTGTACCAAAATTTAAGTTCCCAATGTTTAACCGTTTTGAAGAAAGACAACAAAAACTGATATTTTTCGCCATTTTGCAGATCAAATATCTCAAAAATGAGACCTGCAATTAAAAAAGTTCTCGGGAAGACCCCCTGTAAAATGACTAGGTGAACACGCTGCTAAAATGGTTTAGCATATTTGCGGAACACTCTGTATAAATAACAATTGTAAAGAAAATCAAACACAATTTTAGGTTATTCACTGGGGCACCATGATTTGTACGATAATGTTTATTGAGATTTCCCAGTGTTGAAAAGCTTTTTTGACAAATACTGCAACATTGGAAATAGACATTACTGATGATACAAAATGTATACAATTCTAACCCCACCTTTTTAAGATTTGACACTTGACTTGACGATACCTGACATAACATCAGATACTGGCAACGTTGTATTGCAAGGGGGCTACAATTAGCCGCGTCTCCTGTGCCCGTGACAGCGACAACTACATCTGTCACCTGGATGACGTGACAGTAAAACGTCCCCAATCTGACAGGGTGCGTCGTAACGGGCGAAATTAAGGTTTGGAAAGCCTTATTTATGGCCGACTTGACTCTATCAGCATTTGCCAAGCAAACCGCGCCGGCTCAACTGAACTCGACCCGACGGAAAAACAGCCCCCTAATTCTAACGAATTTAACTCTTTCCCATTGATCATTGGGCGCTGTCGGTGTGCCCCTGAACGATTAGAGCGACTCCGTTCGTAAATCATCATTTGCCGTGCAAGTGGGAAACGGGAAAAACCAACAAGGTGTTTTAAACTGGGATGATTACGTGGTGCTGCCCTCGCCGATATTTCCATAAGCGATTATTCGGGCATAATCGGGCGCAAATGGTCTCCTTTAGACGGCTTTATTATTTTCATCCAGACCTCGCGAATAAGCGGAATAAACCCCGTTTTTTGGGGCTGGCGGGCGGCTGAGCGGGCGGTTTATTCCTATTAGGACTTAAGCGGATGCGGCGGAGTCGCATTTTTCCCTTGTTTCGCTTCAGCGAAGCGGTTTTCGTATATTAAAGTGTCCGGGTGGAAATTGGCCGAATTATCATCGAGACGGTGGACGTTTCCAGGCCGTTTTTCCTATTTCGCGTCGCTTATGGGCGACTTCTGATCGACGTGCCCCTGTAAGTGCCGCTAGGCCAACTGATGTGGAACAGGCCGGGTTTTTGGCCCCGATCGCAAGCGACTCCTCTTCTAGTTTACGTGATGTTATTAACCGGGAGGCAGTTTATCATCGGAACGTCAGTAAAACGTAATGCCTTTCGGTTTGTCGTGGCGTAATTTACAGCCTCACCTCAACGAACTGACCTGAGTTATGGAGTTCGTTACGTTTTTAATGCGCGATCGGATCCTGCTTGTCTTTTGCCTGGAAAGCGGCCAGTGAAAGTTGATTTCTCCAGTCGGCAACGTCAACTTCCCCAGCCTCCGCCACGCCCCCACCGGCTCATCCCCTTGAGTAGATGAAATGCATCGAAAGCGGGGATTTTCCGCGATAAGCCGGGTGTCATTCGGGGGGCTTTTGCGCCGCTGCCGCCCTAACTAGAGTGGCCCCACACTCACTCACTCACTCACTCACTCCATCTCCTAAGGCTGTAAAACTAGCGTTCGATTCAGGGGGCTTTTTGCTGCCGAGCGGCTAATCAATCACGCACACCGCGTGCCCTCTGGAAAGGTGATTTAATGGGCCCGAGCCCCACTATTTATTCCACGTCGCTGGCCATTCGGCCGGAAATTAACAGATTTGCTACCGAAACGCCGAAGTTCTTCGTTTGAGTCGAAGCGACACAGTTTATGCAAAAATGCCCGAGTGCCMAAMGCGACCTCCACCCTTAAYCAAACCTTCRGTSCGCAAKCGAAGTTTCACAGGCCTGTTCGAAAAATGTATGTGCGAAAGTGCTTCAAAATCCACATCAGTTTCATCAAAGGAAAAGGCGAAATCAAGCGAACTYATTGAAAACACTGCAATAGTCGATATTTTCGACTCATTTTGGGCAAAAATTAGTTTCAAACGGATTAATTACGCGTTATTAACGAAAATACTGATGAAGAAAAATTCAAAAGAGTTTGAAGCGCTGCGCCAACTCAATGCATCGGCGCAATAACTCAGTTCCGTTGCGCTGGGACACGTTTTTTTGCCGAATGCCWAGTCATGCATTGGGAAAAACGCACTTTCGTCTCAGGATGGGGAAGTTTTGCTTGTGTTTCAAAAAATTCAGTCCGACCAAACCGAGTGGAACAGAACGTGGCCAAGGCGTGCGTTGGAAAGAGCACACAATAATCGGTGGAGTTTGAAAGTTTCGTCTTTCTGCGCCAAACCTTCCAACTGGGGCTGCGAGTGTTCAAAAACGCATTTTTGCTAAACTAAGCAGGATTAAACCGAGTGGATAGTTTAAGGTTGTAAGTTTCGGATTTGCACCATCATCAGGAGTAAAATGCGCGCGAAATTCTGCGAATCTATTGGCGATGAAAAAATCGAAAGGTGTCTAATGTAGATGTGGTGCCGAACCCTTCGGGCACGACACTGGTTTTGAGCCAGAAACACTCTGAYTTAGGCCTGGGTAACTCAATAAATGTTAAGGAGTTGGCGCAGTGCGAGTGTTATAAACCATTAACCGATGCGTCAAGAGCGCCACTCAACACAGTGTCACATATGCCCAGTCCCAATCACTTTAAAGGCGCATATCGAGGACTTTCTTAAAAAATGGAAAATCGGCACACCTGGAGTGTTTTTCGCGTCAAAATCAGTGTCGTGCTTGAAGGGCTCGGCACAAAAATCGCATTAGACGCTTTTGGATTTCACCCAGTCCAATGTAATTTATTTATTGTGCCGAGCCCTGCGGGCACGACACTGAACACTAATTTAAGGCATGCGTAACACTGTCTAATGAGTTATAACTCATCGTGTCGCACTGCGGCGCCCCTTGACTGGAAAACGAGTTGAGTTGGCGCAGTARACCGATTGGGCATCACTGCGCCAACTCCTGCACATTTACTGAGTCTGCCTCATGCCTAAATAATGTACACAAAAAGCACGCAAGAAGAATGATGAATTTTTCCCGAAAATATCCTAAGGGTGAGTCCCAATCACT